AGTAATAAATGATCACTAAAGTACTTGAATTGTTGTTTTAAAGGATAATTCCACCCAAAATACAGAAAAAAAATACTTCTAAAGTTTATTCAATACATATTTCACACAAAGTACTACTTCATGTCCAAGTACCTGTAATTTTAAAGGTTTATTCCACATAAATAGTGCTTTCTAATTAACAAGTTGTGGTTTGAAAGGATTATTCCAGTCAAAATACTTGTTTCTGTAGTTTAACTTGGTTACTACGGCTTGCATTCGGACAAGCTGTGAAAGTAGCATACTCATGTCATTATCAGGTAAAATAACAATGGAATCATCTACTGTGGCCTTTGTAGTTTTAAGATCCCAAACAGAATGGTTTGATATATATTTATTTTATACATTAAGTAGATAAAACCAACAAGCCATTGTGTAAATTAAAAAAATATATACATCTGCTTCTCTGATCTTTGATAAACTTACACCAGAGAAGTCAACCTGCTCAACATCCTGCAAGGACAAATTGGTCAACTTGAACTTTTTGAGATGATTTTGCAAAAATAAATTAACATAAATGACACCTAATCCTAGAACTAGACCAAGAACATTTTGTATTTTCAGTCCTAGATTTAATGTGTGTAGTGATTTCACTGCAGTAGACAGAGTAGATGTGGTAAAGGAGTAATAATCCTACATAATAACAGTGTAAAAAAAAATAAAAAATGAAAGAAAGAAAGAAAGTCAAATGCCTGCAGTGACAGTGGTCATAATTATTAACAAAAAGAAAATGAAATTGTTTAACAGTGAGTATTAAACAAGCATTCATAGGTTTGAAGTTGCAGCAAAGATGAGGACTAAACAACATGCTGCCATCCAGACTAACAATTCCCACGTTAAAACATGGTCAAATGTTAATTCATGTACAGAAGCTCCTCTACAGCCAGAAATACAAGTTCTATCCCAAACAGCCATCAAACTCTCTGAAGTGAACCAGCCGACAAACCAAACAAATTTTTTTTAATTTATCTTATGATTTATTTTAAGTGTACATCATTTTTGCTCAACTGTTGTTTTAAATGTTCTTTCTACATAAAGTTATCTTGTCTTTCCAAGCTGTGTCTCCAGTAAAGCAGCAGCAGCAGCAGCAGCAGCATGGTGTGTTATGTGAGAAAAAGCTTACAGCACCTGGTATTCCCAGGCGGTCTCCCATCCAAGTACTAACCAGGCCCGACCCTGCTTAGCTTCCGAGATCAGACGAGATCGGGCGTATTCAGGCTGGTATGGCCGTAAGCACTTACACAGAGTTCACAAGGGGTTCTTATAGGTGAAACTCTACATTTTGTCTGATGTTGCTAAAGTGCCAAATAAGTCCTTCTGGAAATGAATCTTCTGAATCGATAAGATAGGATAAAATTAAACTTGTTTAATATTTTTTTGCTATTTTGGTAAACACAGAGAGAATCAGGAAAAGCTTCCTTCCTCTTGCTGTCAGGACTGAGAACTCTGACCTCGGATCAGAGTCTAAATCATAGCTCCTCATCTGTCAACTCCAGCAGACTGGATCAAACAACATGTCAGTGTATGCACACACACACACACAACACAGACATACACATAACTACACTCCTGCACGATGGACACTGCACTTTGGCATCACAATCTCAACCGCCTTATTATTTATGATGGGAAGTTTTTTGTTTATTATTATTATTTGTATTGTTTTTAAAGAATGTTTTTTTTTTTATATCTAATTGTATTACAAAACATTGAGGAAGAGTCACTTTGCATTTCACCTAAATTAATTTAGGTCAGTTTGTCAAATGTGTTTACAAATTAGCAAACCTGAGAGGAGGATAAATACACTTTTTTCTTTTTTTTATTTAAATATGTGCAGCTTTATGAGATGTAAACTGTCTTTTAGTTAATATCTGATAGTTTTCTCATATTTTACTGTGTTATTGTATTCTATAATTCTTTTAAAGTGAAATATATTGTGTGTCAAATCCAACATATCTGTGTCACTCATATTTATGGATTTTTTAAAAAGTTATTTTTCAGTTTTTTATATGACAAAACATCACCACCATCATTTTTTCTCTTGTGCTGGTGAAGCGCCAAATAATTACCACTTGGGATGTAATATTTCCAACACTTTCTTAACACAAATGTGTTTCATTTGAATTGATTTTTTAATAAATATAATATACATTTTTAGTTTATTAACGTCAGTTTGACATTTGTTTTTACTTTAGCAAGAGGGTGAATACTTTCTTAAACGTATAGACAGCTCATACTAGAAGATGTAAAAGGTTATGCATTGCTATATGATGTAGTATTACATTCATTGTATAGCTGTATCCTGTTATCTCATATTTATTAAATACTGTATTTTGTATTTTACATTAATACGTTATTAACAGAGGCTATAGATGTATCTACAGATATATTTAATATTGTTTGTACTTGTTTTTTTCATGATAATTATTATACAAAAGTACAAATTTGTGATAAAAACTGTATTTGAATTGTATTGTATTGAATTTCCCTTCTGGGATAAATAAAGTATTTTTCATTTCATTTCAAATAAACCGTATTGTTTGATATCTAATGAATATCATAAAAACTGTGCTATGAGTTTAACACATACTATTATATCTCATTTACAATACTCTATTAAACTATGGGTGGTAGAGATTTCAGGGATACAAAGTCCTGCCTGATATTTACTTCCACAGCCTGGTTCAGTCTCAGAAGCTGTTGAGAAAGTTCATCTCCAAGACTGTATTTGGTCAAAACCTATACAAGTCTATATTCATTATACAAGTTCATTAAAACCATTGAGCACCCTAAAACACTGCGATAAATAAAGTCAGCTCGATACAAGCTGACAGCCACTACATTTCAGTCAGTTTTACACGTGTGTGTTTGATTTGGATTCTATTTCTGTTTGTTTTTTCTGATATCTACTGTTGTATAACTTAAAAGTCATTAAGTAGCATGCAAAGTAGTATTAGAAAAGTTTCAAGTGTATGTGATTAATCCTACAACTACATCTAAGTTTATTCATTTTTAAAATATCTTATTATTAGTGTTGCTTCACCCGTTAAAAAGGCATTTCACTTCATTGAAAACCGTAGCAGGCTGGTCCTGCGTGCAAAAAAGTATTGTCAGAAGTGGGATTCGAACCCACGCCTCCATTCGGAGACCAGAAGTCCCGTGCTTAGGAAGGTTTGTCACCTTGAGTCTGGCGCCTTAGACCGCTCGGCCATCCTGACAACTGCGCTCCATCGCCGGGTAGTAGGCTGTTTGACTGCTGCTAACGAACTTAGACGCCAGCGGTTTGACTCATTGTCAGGAAAAAGTAACTTTAGTGGTGTTTGGCAAGTTTAGGCATGTGTTGTAAATTACTACTGATGATATAGACTCAGTGCTATGACTCAGTATTAGATATCCATTTATCACTGGGAGAGGTGTTTTAGTTTTAGGTTAAATATAGAATATCTTCAGGATCAGACAAGAAAGACACGTGGGAGAGACACAGACACAAAACTTAGAGATCATTG